TTTTTGGGTTCATTTGTAAATCACATTGATTTGTCGCCGAATTTCGCCGGCACTTTGATGGGCATAACGAATTGTGCAGCTAATGTTATGAGCGTAATAGCACCACTTGTTGTTGGTATTGTTGTTACGGATGCGGTAAGTGTGTGCAAAAAGATTTTGTAATTATCTATATTTGCATATCTAATTTATATCTCCGTTTGTATTGCAGACAAACTCAACTCAGTGGCGCTTAGTGTTTATTATTATGGCGCTGTATTATTTTGTAGGTAATTTGCTCTTCATAACGCTTGGTAGCACGAAATTGCAATCATGGGACCAACCGGTGAAGCGGCGTGTGACGCGTGACCATATCAAATTTCAAGTTGTAGTAAGCGAAAAAGATCATATCTAATCTGTGCGTGTTTACTTATGACTTTTGGCAGAACACAAGCGGCACTTACGTGTGGGAGAGCATAAAGATTTATTTAAATATAAAAAAAAAAAATGTTTTATACATGAAGATTTTTAAATATGAAGTGATTAGATATTTTTTAGGAAGAATAGCGAGCATTGAATCCAAATTTAGCCCAAACAGGAAGAGTGGAATTTGTACGAGGCAATACCGAACATCTTGTATTTGTATCTACTGAAGTCATATGAAGAAACCACTCCTTATAGATTACTGACAAAAATTAAGTACTTAAAGCGTTAATGTAAAAAATAAAACAATCTAGAATTTTAAGCAAAAAAAGAATGAATAAACTTTGGAAATGCGAAAAATCCGATTTTCCCCGTATTTGAACGCATTTCCAGTAAATCTGCATCTTTAAATTTTTAATAAGACGGCAGGATTTTTCCTAAGCAAATCGAAAAAATTAATCAAAGGAAACATCCTTTGCACTTTTTATCCTTCCGTATCCTTATATATTTTATAGGATTTAAATTAAACCAGGATTCTCAAAATTCATTCAAAAGTTGAAATCTTGAAGGTAAAATTTTTAAAGGATATTTTTGACATGTTCCAAAAGGATAATGGAAAGCAAAAGTTACAATTAATCTTGTCCTTGTCCTTTTGAAAAAATCCTGACTTTCTGGTAAAAAACTAAAATCGCAGGTTTACTAAATGTTATACCCTAATACTGTAATACGGGTAGCCGTAGTCGGAACTACATAAAAGTTTTAATTGGATAGTTTTTAAGACAAAACTAAACAAAATGGGAGGGTATGCGCTAGTAAAACAAGTTTTTTTTTTTTTTTTGAATAGTCTAATATGCATATGTACTAGTATGTGACTTTTCTGCACAATCATTCTCTAACACGCCATTTAAAAAGTGCAGTTTGTAGTTCTTAAAATAAATGAAGAAAGCAACACCCAAATCTAATTCAATATTTACTCAAAGATTTAATTTATTTACGATAACGTAAACGTGTTTTATGCAAATTCCTTAGCATTTTTATTAAAACAAACAATACACTTAACTTTATAAAATGTATTAGCTCATTCTTCATTATGGGTCATTCCAGCGAATATGCCACCACAGTTAAAAAAAAAATATTACATAGATTGCGTTTAAGTCTGCGACATTACTTAAGCCGGTAGAATATCTTTTTAGAAATCGATTTAATTCTCACAATTTTCTTTGTTTATACTGTTATAAACGTAGCCGTAGTGCGTCTATCTTTGATACAGTTCCTTGTGAGGAGCACATATGTATGTATTTTTCTCAACGCCGAAGACATTTTCCAATATTACATTTACTAAATATATGCCATGCTTTTTAAATGTCCCCGTTTTGCGCTGAAAAAGTTATACTCAAAAAACGTACAAAGGATACCCAAAATGACACGTTAAAATTCTTATTTTAATTACTTTGATTTTTTATAAAAATTAAAATGACATTATTAAAATAAAAAAAAATATTAAATAAGTTACAAGAACTCGTCACATTTGTTATTAAAATGGCTCAAGCTTTTTATAAAAAGTAATATTACATTAATAAAATGAATTTAAAAGTGAGTGACACAAAAGCACACGGTTTCGGAGATTTGCCCGAATATCAAAGAAATACCGTTCGCAAAAGAAAACCAATCGGCGTACAATAATTAAAAATATATGTTTTTTTTGTGGTGGCTTATTATTTTATTTAAAAAAATATATAAAAAGGGGGGATAAAAAATATCACTTTGTTTGGAATTGCCCCGCTTATTATTTGGTTTTTGTTATTTTTGGCCTATATAACAATTATATTCAAAAATTTTATTGAGCTTGAGGCCGTTTTTGTGAAAAAATGGTGTGGAAAAACAACAATAATTTACGCATACCTAGAGTGCCTATTTGTCTGTGAAAAATTATGAAAGAAAAAAGTTTGGTTTTTGCAAAATTTAATTTCAAAAATTTTTCATAAAAATAAATAAAAAATGAATAAAATCAAAAATTGATAATATTACTATTCTATTTTCAACAGTAGTAGTGGCAACAATAACTAACGCTTGAGTGAAAGAATGGTTGAAATCCATTAATTTTCAATAAAGTTAAGGAAATTATAAAAAAAAGAATCCCCATATATCGATTTTTATCTAAAAAACCAATAACCTTATATGTCCGACAAAAGTTTTTTTTCGAGCAAAAAAAGATAAAATACAGGTGTCATTACTTGGAGCAAGAAACAACATATTTCAGTTTCGTCGAAAATAAAAATCATGACCGGTTGTCTTGCAATGGTAAGTATCAGACATAAAAAAAAAAAATTCTGAAAATTTTTCTTATGAAAAAAAAGTGCATAAAAGCATAAAAATTCTGAAAAATCAACGCGATTTTTTAGACATTTGAAATTTTCACATTATTATACTAAAATTTAATGGGCTATAAAATTGCATACCTGAATTCTCTTTAGAAATTCGTTTTAAAAAGTTCGCGATTTTGTTGGAACTTTGCAGATTTTTCTTAATTTTTGTACACTGTTTCACTCTTGGATTTAAATGGGGTTTGCTAAAATATAAGCCATATTTTAATACAAAATTAACACAAAGATTTTAGCATGTAAAACATTGCGAATATTAACAAGAAAGGGCCGTACGCTCAATTTTGTGAGTAACGGTATGTATATGTATGTATGTATGTACTTACAAACAGCATCACTATTATATTTTGGTAAACAAACATATATACTTATATGTAAATACATACTTAGACACCATAGGTTGTCACCATCAATCTTAAGAAGTTGAACAGATATGAATAAGTTACATACATACATACTTATGGTATACGCGAAATGTATACATACACATACATATGTATGTGTGGTAATGTGATAAGAGTTAATCAGCACCATAAATATAAGCTAATCTTAAACTCAACTTACTACGTTTATATACGTAGAAGAACTTATTTATATTCGTATTAAAATGTAAATTTTAAGTAAATGTATGTGTCCATATGCGTGTGCGCTCGTCTTCCGTAAAATCATCATAACATCGAATAGATTGCTTTAATTAATTAATATTGAAAACACACATAGGATTACACTTTTAATTGCCAAGTTACTTAAATAACCCACTTCTTCCACAGCGTTTCGGGAATGGCGTCAAAATATTCTTTAACCATTTAGTATTTCTAACAATTTGCAGAGGTTAATTTAATGTTTGACTTTTTAAGTTAGTGCAGCCTTCTGATAAACCAAAGAATGCAGTTATTTTCTTTCATTTCAGATGAAGATGATAGTTAGTATTTATTTCAAACTTTCCACAAGTGCAAAATTTTAGAAGCTTTCCATTTCTCTAAGTGATCGCACGCAACATTTTTGCACTCGTCGCTCGTTCAAATGTTAAAATATAAATCACTTGTTTGAAATTTAAAAATTTTAATCGTTAAAAATGGAGAAAAGTTCCAAGTATGAAAGTGGCAAAAAAGGTTAGTGAAGTGTGACAAAAAATAAAAAAAAGAAAACAAGGATATGGATAGTTAAGACCAAATTTTTGATAAAAAGTACAGATAAATTTTAAATTTGACTTGAAACAAAAGTGAAATAAGACAAGCTGTACGTAAGATAACTAGTTGACGTCGGTTTTGTCGCTAAAGTTGTTAGGCAGGACTACGCCAGGCCTTTAAGCTTCGAGCCTATAAGCAAGATGTCTCCCATTCTTTCTTCCCATCAGACATTGAGTGCATTTTTGGCAATTCTGCCTTAGATTGCATGTCTATGTAACTGTGCTTTACAGTATTATGTAGATTCTGTCATTAGGATTCAGATAGATAAAGGTCAATGTGCTTCCATCTTTGCAGCCCAGACCTACATATGTATGTAGCTCATGTGGTCTGCCCCGTTATAGGACTTTCATTCTTAGTTATTTGCAAGAAAGCCCTGAGAGAATGAGCTGCACGCTAATGCAATCAAAACAAGCGTTGTTCTTTTCAATAGAATGAGAAGGTCCCAAGTACCTCTACCCTTGAAGGAGGCACTATTCAGATTTCTTTCGAAGCAAAGCATTTGAGTCTACTCCTAAACGGTAAACTCTTATGGAAGTCTCACCTTGAACAAAAGATCTCCAAAGGCTTAACAGCGTTCTTCTGGCAATGTCTTTGGTAGAATTTAGAGACTGTCACTTAGAGGAATCCTGTGCATTTACGTCTCTGTGATAAGACCATTATCAGCTATCTGTGGTGTGGTGGATCAGACTCTAAACCAATAGTTTAGAAAATGTGCTTGCCAAACTTAAAATTACGATTGCAGTCGTTACAACAACTGGGGCAGGAAATGGTAAGCCCTCCTCTGCGATGAATAGACCAGGTGGAGAGGGACTTGGCTTTACTCTGTATTTCCAATTGACGTCAGTTGGCACAGATTTCTAAAGCGGCTCCAGCGCCAATCAAGTAGCAGAAGAAGAAGACTACAAGCCAAGGTATTTACAATAACAAAGGTCATGGATTGCGTGCCCGAAAATTAGTAGGGTGGAATGAGTTTGCGTGTCTGCGTTAAAAGCTAAACGGCATTTGTCAGCGCTCTAATACTTTCTAACTAGTTCGGAAATACAAGTCCCGACAGAATCATATTGGAAAAAAGCACTCCTACCCTGAGTGCCACGTTATTCGGGAGTACCCGTTACTAAGATATCTGACCACTTTACTAAAACGAGCTCAGGAATTCTTCGGCCCGCAATCAGTTAAAGCACTGCCACAATCGGTCGTGGAAGGCACCGTCACGAACTGGATAAGTATTTCGCTCAGCAATGACTGGAAGGCTCGGAGGGGGCTTCAGGTGGGCAAAACCCATATTACTCTCAATCTTAGTAGGTTTAGCAGTGTATTTTCCTCCATTGAGCCAATGGGACTTCAGAGAACGTGTGGCATTGCTAAGTGGTTACTTCTCGTGGCACAAACAGCTTGCTATGATGATTGGCAAACTAGTCCCAAAATAGTTCAGAAATCGTCATGAACTAGTCCCCAAACAGCTCTGAA